ACTTTGCACTTTGTCTTTTGGGAGAATTACCGAATTCTCCCCTGCCGTGTTCCCCGGCGGCTTGAGTCTACTATTTTATTTATTAGTTTTATTCTCTCATCACGTTTCTTTGTGGGTTTAGCCTACACTGGTCACTGATTAGTGTCAAATAGCAAGGTACCACCTGTACTAACAAATTATAGTTCTGCTGTTATGAATACAGTCAACCCCATACAACAGACCTTCCACACAACAGATTTTTGAAGAACAAACTGCCTCTGGAGGCAGTTTTTCTTGTTTCATAATAGACAAATCTGCATTACAAGACTTCAGGCTGTAGAAGGGCGCATCAGCAGTGGATGTGAGACCCTCAGGTCCTCCCTTGCTTCCCAACTTGATTTGAATGTAAAATGTCATGGTTTCTGCCATGAATATGTGTGTGTATGTTTTTTTTAGTTCTTCTGGTTTTAATTTTGCTTCTTCTGCATGAGTGTAAACATATAGGAGAATGGAATTTTCATAACAGACTTTTCACATTACAGAAGTGAGACCCCAAGATGCAGACAATCCGGACATAATTGGTGTATTAAGAGTGTCCCTAAGTTGAATTGTCCCCAAGTTGAGTCTTGTTTTCCCTTAGACTATATTTCCATAAAACACCAATTAAAAATTATATATTGTATTACATAATTTTTAATTGGTGTTTTATGGAAGAAATAATCTTAAGAATTCCCTGAAAATAATTGTGCGCCACTTGAATTTGAATTAGTGAATACATGTTCAAATCAATAAGAACATTTGGAGCATTGAATAGTGTATCTTTGTGCTTTACTTTGAAATGTTGGCATCTACAAAAATAAAATTCAAATGAAAAATTTAGAAGTCCCTCTATGCAGGAGGTAATTTTTTAAAATTAGCTATATGGATGGTAAATTGGTGGGAGAAATGCCCAAGAACTTATCTTACATCAATTTTAGGGTTGGAAATATCCGTTTCTTGTAATTTGATTTGAAATGTATTTGCAATTTTATTGCAAAATGTCCCTATGTTGAGTCAGTGTCCTCATGTTGGGCCTTCTTCATTAATTTTCTCTGGGAAAATAAGTGTCCCTATGTTGAATTGTCTGCAGGTCAATGTGTCCGCAAGTGGGGGTCTCACTGTATTCTGCTGTACAAATGGAGTCCATTGTGAATGAGTTGACTGTAAATTGAGTTACATCCTTATCAATCATATCCAAGCATTCTCATGTTTCACCAGAATTTCTGGAAGAAATTATCTGCATATCTGCATTATGCTTTATCTGCATTTCACAAGTTAGTTATGTACCACTGCTCATGCTACATAATTTTAGTCACTACCCCTGAAAAATCACCACAATGAGGAAGAAATATTTTTAAAATTCGATACTGAGAGAAAACAAATAAAAACAGGATATCTTATGTGATTGATTCCGTAGATTCTATACTACTCTATAAAACTGAAAAAATTCCATACCGTAAAAGTATCGTTCTCTGACGAAATCCACATAATTGGTTAGTCCAGATCTCCGTTCGGGTAAAACGATCTCGCAATTGTACATCATGATGGCGAAAACGTTCCAAAGGATCCCAACAAAAGCTTGCACCTGTTTGAGGAAGAGACAACGAAAAAAAGCGATTGTATTGAAGCAATTCTAAGCATAACATTTAATGTAGGTTCAACAGGAATGACACGGACTCCGATAAAAAAGAATCGACTCCAAACTACAGAAATCATTTAAAGATTTTAAACGAACAGCAGACCAGGTGAAAAAGAGCACTCAAATGACGAAATTACAATAATTGTTTCATTCTGTTGCTGAATGAATAAAATCCTTGTCCCATTTTAACTTTTCCTCGATTATTTTTCGAAGTTGAACTGCACAGCTTTTAAGAACAGCATAAAAACGCTTGACGAAATTAAAAAAAAGTTATGGATGTAATTTATTCAACGATACTGTGTTATTACAAATTAAATTTTCCCCAAACCAGCAAAATTAAACACAACCTGAAAAATGTGATAAAGTGAGAATATATCAGTATTTCAATTAATAATATGGGGTCTCTTAACTTACATAAATGTTGATTCTTTTCTTTTGAGGACTCAATTTCTCTTAAGCCAATACTGTAAATATTTTTTTTCTTCACACAAATATGACAGCAGTGCTTTTAATTCATCACAAACAGTCATGTACAGCATATAACATGTTTACACAATACTCAATCACCATTCTAACGCGCAAAAAACTCGAAGTCAAGCACAATCATCCTTTAATTTCAACAACAAAATACGTCCAAGCCTCACTTTCAAAGAGATGAATTTCGTGAAGAAGTACAGCAGGTTAAAATTGTGGTTTTGATTGGAGCTGAAGTATTTCCCACAAAATGAATCACCAATGCTCAGTCAGAAATCCAAGAATTGACGCGGAAGTGAATGAGATTAATGGCGACGAGATGATAACGGATCAGCTGTTTTCATGCAAGGGGGAAGGGTTATGGAGTTCTAATACAAGCCTCAAACCTTCTTGAAACTAAATGCTTAGCTTAGACTAACTTAGCTTACATCTAATTAACCTAGCGTACAACTAATTAACTTAGCTTACAACTAACTAACTTAGCTTACAATTAATTAACTTAGCTTACAACTAACTAACTTAGCTTAGATTAACTTAGCTTACAACTAACTAACTTATAGCTTAGATTAACTTATTAGCTTACAACTAACTAACTTAGCTTCGATTAACTTAGCTTACAAATAACTAACTTAGCTTAGATTAACTTAATGACTAACTAACTTAGCTTAACTTAACAACTAACTAACTTAGCTTAACTTAACAACTAACTAACTTAGCTTAGATTAACTTAACAACTAACTAACTTAGCTTAGATTAACTTAACAATTAACGAACCTAGCTTAGATTAACTTAGCTTAAAGTAATTCAACTGAGATTAACTTAGCTTAAAGTAATTCAACTGAAACTAACTTAGCTTAAAGTAATTCAACTGAGATTAACTTAGCTTAAAGTAATTCAACTGAGATTAACTTAGCTTAGAGTAATTCAACTGAGATTAACTTATCTTAGATTAACTTATGTTATATTAACTTAGGCCAGATCAACTCAGGTTAGATTAACTCAGGTAAGATTAACTTAGTTTAGACTAACTTAGGTTAGATTGACTTAGCTTAGATTAAATTAGCTTAGATTAACACAGCTATTAGATTAATATAGCTTAGATTAACTTAGCTAAAATCAACTTGGCTTAGATTGTCAGTTTAGATTGGCTTATAGCTTGGATTAACTTAGCACAGCTTAACTACTTAGCTCAACTGCGTAGCCTAAATTAAATTATCTTAGCTTAGATTAATTTAGCTGAAATTAACCAAGCTCTGATTCACTTAGTGGCAACGAACTTAGCTTAGCTCTTTGTAGGCCAGTTAGCTGGGCTATATTTACGATATTTTCTTTATTAGGCTAGTTTAGTAATTGTACTTCAATAAAACGTTTCAAAGTACTGCATATTGCCTCAACAGTACGGAATGTTTTGCTGGAAGAAATATATTTATCCCTCGATTCTCGATGGGCTTTCAAACTGGTAGCGAAGCGATTTTCAAACTCAACACGGTTTCTACAATTACATGACGAAACGTACATGACGGGGCGCGATTTCTTAAATTTTACATAGGTGACGCTAGCGTCGTTACTTTTTTGTTAGCCGAGTGAAATTTATCGTGAAGATACCATAATTCCGTTGATTCCATTTGGGCAGGTTAACTTTGGTTCGGATAAAGTGAAATTTGAGATTGGGTCAAGATTTTGTTCAAGTTGAATGACGTACGTGTTGGGGTGAGTTCTGGAATATTTTAGGTGATTACAGGTCGAGTCAATAACTATATATATATATATATATACTATATATTATTCAATAAATCCATGAATCCTCGGGAAATGCTGTATAAGATAGATTACCATTAATTTATTCACGCTACGCAAAATCCTGCCAGAATTTTAAAATATATTTAATTCTAATTATCTGGCATATAATTTGGGCAGGTTAACTTTGGTTCGGATAAAGTGAAATTTGAGATTGGGTCAAGATTTTGTTCAAGTTGAATGACGTACGTGTTGGGGTGAGTTCTGGAATATTTTAGGTGATTACAGGTCGAGTCAGGTCATATTATTCAATAAATCCATGAATCCTCGGGAAATGCTGTATAAGATAGATTACCATTAATTTATTCACGCTACGCAAAATCCTGCCAGAATTTTAAAATATATTTAATTCTAATTATCTGGCATATGAATTCTAAAATTTTAAAGAAATATTCCCTTGCGTTAGTGTTTAGAATATATTCTGAATGTAAATACAAAGCACACATTTTTTTTAACCTACTCTTGTTGCTCTGTTGACATTTTTCACAAAGCCTAAATATATTAAAGCTCGTGTATTAGAGCTATTTTCCGATTAATTATGTATTCTTTTACAAATCCCCGAAAACTAATAATGTGAGAATTAAATATAAAAGCTGTGAATAATAAGAGTTCTCACCCCTGTGAAGGTGGCGGCCAGAACAGTGAGGCAAACGAAATCGCATCGCGTTGCGACCATTTCGACCGGAAATCCGTGACGATTTCTCACAACATATCATCGACACTGACACTGCCGTCGAAGTCGTCATTCGTTTGCTGACGACATCTGCTACAGCCCACATCCGCCACTTCACAGCTTCTCCTCCGCGATTTCTCCTTGGCACTCATCGGATTTTTCTCTCCTTCCACAATGGAACAAACACACATTTTTACGCATACAGCATAGACA